AATAAAGAAAATAAGAGTTCACTTTAGCAGTTTGAATTTTTTAAACAGTTTAAGTGTGCGAAATGTTTCATCAAGCATGTAAACTGTAGGCTTGTTTCTTACAGAGATTGTATTGTATGGTCGATCCTTTGGATGTTTTCAAGATTCCAATCGCCATTACAGAAAGCGGCAGAATACCTTTGCTCACAGCCATGAGGGGGAAAATCTGTTACGGCACAAAAAATGAAAAGAACCAACATTATTGTCATCGTGGATTGGATTGTAGAATCTCAAGGTGAGAAATGGTTTCCATTTCGTTACACAAAATGAAACTTCCTCTGAGGTCAATCTTTGAATGATTGGAATTTCCTTCTTTTTGTAACCGGTGTCATTGACACGGCCTTCAGTGATCAGTGTGACATCATGCACCAACTTCCATTGCACCGTGGCTCGACCTATGCCCCAAGATATAAGCAAAATAATTGTCTATATACCATGATTTTTTTTTAAAGATGTTCTGTCCAGGCCATTTTCGAGCATCAACACAAGAAAACACCAAATAGTTTTGGAATATTTACGTCACACTTTTGAATTATTTGCGGCCCCGACACTCGTCGACTGGTTCCCGCCTCTGTATCAGAAACGATAATAATTATGGGGACAGGCAACCAGTCTGCTCGCAGGGAGGATCTGTTTGTTCGCAAAAACGATCCAAAAACCTTTTCTCAAGGGGGTTGCAGTTGTCAAAAAAGGGGGGAAATTTTAATCGTTAGAACAGAGGATTCAAGATGGCTATACATAAAGATAAAAAAGGGAATTTGTTAAACAGCTCGGACAGTACATCTTTAATATTATCTTAAAACTTGCTGATTTCAAGAAAATAGACCTAAGACGTAATGACGTCATGCTTTGCTTACAGTCATATATATGCGCTTTCCTACGGGGAAGAGATCCACCAAGCTCCAATGGAAAGCGCACATGACTTTGTAAACAAAGCGTGACGTCATTGTGTCTCATGTCTATTGAATATGTTAGAGTAAAAAATACAAGCATGATTTATATTATTTTTTCCAACTCATCATGGAGAGCTTATCCAATTTGCCGAAGGTGGGGGTTTAGGGAGGGGGTATACTCAATGAGTTTGAACGATTAAAAGCTCATGCTTGCTCCCCCCCCCCAAAAAAAAATTAAGGATGGCATACGGAGGCCTCCCCTTAGTACGCCACTGAGTGTCCATGCATGAAAGTTTCATTCGAGGAATATACCAACGAGTGATCCAAAAAGAGGCAAACTGACAAACATTTGGTTTTCATGATATAATTTGTTGTATATAACTGCTTTTTGGTGTGTTTTGATTAGGTTGGCACTTCTCTTATATAGCTGTGGTTATTCTCCAGTGTATCCATTCCAATCCTTGGACCAAGATATATTTATCTGGACTCGGACTTGACTCAAATGACTCGTACTCAAATGACTCGTGACTCGGACTTGAACCAAACGACCCGAGACGGACTCGACTCAAGTGACTCAACTACAACACTGGTGTACAGTATCATACAATCTAAAAACTCTGGGGTCAAATTGACCCCGATATGAGTCTATATCTGAACAGTCCGTTTCAGGGTCAAAAAATGATCCAGAGAAATGTCATTTTTTTACCCGAAAAAAAGGTCATTTTGACCAGAAAAGGGTAAATTTTGACCTGGAAAATGGTTGTACGGATATAGACGCAGATTCTGGGTCAATTTTGACCAGGGAGTTTTTACAGTGTACTTAGAACGGAGTGAAGTTTCAAAATGAATGTGATTGCCCAAATTTAATCCATTCACCGGCCAACTTCTAATATTTTCGTCTTCGCCCATGATTTCTGATGAATAGATAGTCCATCCGAAAGATGATAATGTCATTATCGTTATCAGGGGATGTAAAATGAATCCACAAATTGTGAAAAAAAACCAAAGGGATAGATCCTACCAATTTTGTCGAGTTGGAGCAAACGAATAGTGAATTTCTGGGAAATCTATAATAAACGGTGTCATTTTCGGAGACAGTAAGATTTCATCACCTTACCAAAAAATGAAGGTAATGTGGGAACCCAACCACTTGATGAATTTGATGAGTTCTGTGCAGAAGAGGTGGCACACAGCATGAAAGCGATGGTGGCCAGCAGGGACAACGATGAACAACCCCAACCCATCGTAGAAGTGCTGAAGCTGTGTCGTCAATCACTTAAAGTGAACAAAAAAGTTTCCTTCTTCAAATACGACCTTTTACATTCCATCGGTAAACTTGATTGAACAGGGGGATTGCAAATGAGTTTGAAATAAATCTGATGCGCGTTTAATGAGTCAATTTAACATGTAGCTTTTTTTTTCTTCAAATTTTCTGCAACTTTTTTTTTCAAATCAGAAATTCAAAAGAGTTGAACCTGGCTAAAAAAAGGAAACAATACTAGCCCTTTTCAGCCGCAACCCGGCCCCCGGCCCTCCCTCCCTCCCCCCCCCCCCCGGCCAAAAAAAGAAACGAACCAGCAAGAGAATCCAAAAATAATTCGGTGGTATGCTCTGTTAGCATGGTTTCAACTTATAGGATGGTTTGCAAACTTTTCTTTCAAATCCATCTTTCCTCCTTACTTTTATGGATGCCCGAGACCAAATTGTTTTAAAACAAAAATGAAGTTCGCAGGGGCGAGATGGATACCTACAATGCCTTGAAACTGTGCACTGTGTGTTGAATAGGAGTATGCTAGTGCACACAATGTATCCGTTCTGCTTTTTATGAATAAGTACTTTATTTAAGACATTTTCTATTTATCATTAATAGATAGCTAACACATTGCCAAAGAAAAGAAGGTGTATGCTGAGGCCATATATGAATTTTGGCAAGGAAAAATACTCATTTAATTTTTTTGGTCAAAATCGATTTGTTTATCTCCGAGTGGATAACTCATTTTACCAATGAATCGGAACAACGTGAATAAAGGACGTTAGTCTTTGTTTTGAAATAAATGATTCTTAGTCATAAATGATGGCGTGGACACAATTGCGGTGATCCAACCTTACTGAAATTGCTCACCTTCATAAATTTCAAGAACTAACTCATTGTTAGTTGGGGGTGGAGATGATATTTTGTTTTACAAATCGTGTACCTCTACTTTATGTATGTATATTTAATTACCTTGATATAAAGTCGTTATTGGAAAACGTTATTCTGCTCCTGACTGACTGACAACACAATTTTGATTTTTAAACAAATCATCCAATGAAACCGCTGGTCACGTGTCACAAGGTGATAATTTCTTTCCGAAATTACTGTTTAAATGACAAACACGAATTTAGTTTGTGGCAGGGATTTTTGTGGTTTTTGCTGAACACACGTCTAGCAGTTGAGAAACAAAATTTTATTTTCTTGGGTCTGCCACGCCCAAACATTTTTTGTTCAAAGTATTGAACCGTCTAAGAATGTGTGGTCTGCTCCAGTTGGGATGTCAAAGATAATGCGCATGCGCATTAATGGTCTTGAGGCAAGAAGCGAAAACGGTCCATCGAAAAGGTACAGGGGTACAAACTTTCGGGTAATTTTTTTTCGCAATTTCTCCAAGGATTTCTCGCTTTTGTCTTGATGCAAAAATTGAAGACTTAGTAACGAGTGAAAATTAGTAACTGTGCACTTCGGTGTTCCATCTCCAAATTTCGTTCTGAACGCGGTGATGAATCGCGCCGGGCTGAACCGCGGGCTGAATTACGGGCTGCGGGCCACAAACGATGTCACCACCGTGCATGGACAGTCACATTGACCGGACACTCAGCGTACAAGCCCGGCGGGAGCCACATGAAAAATCACGCTGCTATATTTATGTCGGTCAGCGGCAATCGCTTCTTGCCTCAAACCCATGTTTGCATAAATTATAATTTATTACTGAAAATGTCTATTTGGTGGCGTGGTGAAACTTTTTATGCAAACATTTGAATGTTGAATATTTTTTTGTCATATTTTGAAGCATATACCGAATTCTTGGACCTTAGTATGTGGCATCGCTTAAATATTTCTTCAATCTTTATAAACAATCCCTTTACACAGTTTAAATTATTTGGGGCCCGACAATCATTCAGTTCTCGCAGGGTAGAATGGTTCCCGCTCCCATCGGACTCGATAATGCCAGTGTATCCGCAGGGAGAACGTGTTTGGGGGAAAAACAAAAAAAATCAAAATACATGAAAGGTTTGCGGAAAGACCATGTGCGAATAACTACCTAACTAAGAGAATTATTCGCCCATGGTGTTTCCGCAAACCTTTCATTTATTAGTATCTCCACCATGCAAAGCCTCAAATCTTACTCAAAAATTAAAACAAAATCATGTTTTCATTAGGGTTGCAGTTGTTCGTGGTAATGCTGTATAAAAGTTGAATATTCGTTATTGTCAATTGAGTTGTACCCAAAAGCGAACTCCAAAATACCTCAGCTCAGGACGGGTTGAAGTCCGAATGACCTCGACTTTATCTTAATCCAAGCGTGCTCAAGTACTAACGAGCCCAAGTCCGAGTTGAAGTTCGAATGACTGTTACAGTGCAACCGACAAGTATATAATTCTTTTCGCCGATCATGTGTTTACTGCGTTCCGCTGTTTATTGTTTTATTTTGTATATACCTGTGCACCCCGCCATAAATGAAATCGTCCGAAAGTTTTAACCAATAACGTGTCAGTCAGTCCCGCGTAGACTTTACTCATTCACTTAGAGCTAAGGTGTTCGTGGAGTGTTAAAAAAAACCCTTCTATCTTACGCAACAGCATTTGTACAAGGCCATGGTAATTGTCAGAGAACGCCCACCCTAATTGTTGAACAAACACGTCAGTCAGTAAAGAATAGATCGTTTTGTACTTTTCGGAAACGCCGTTTAGGGCCTTTTGTGTGTGGTTTGTTGGAGTTTATTTTGTTGTGAGAGAGATAGAGATAGAGAGAGGCGGAAGACATTTTGACTCGTTCGAGAAAAGACAGACTTTTGGAGAGCGACCGTGTGCTTGAGAGACCGGTTGTAACTTCCCTTGCATCAGATATCTGAGAACAGCAGATCATAGCCTTTGTGGATCCGTTTGATCCCTATGGGAAGAGAGACGGAAATTCAGTCCGTATCTAGAATTTGGTAAATTCAGGCCGAATTCCAGCCGTAAAACTGTCCCGGTCGTCTTTGACATTTCCTGGCAACAGTTCGCCTCCCCAAGAAAGCTGCACAGCAAATTACCGTAAGTATATTAAATTTGTGATTTTCCTGGCTATTATATCTAAGTTCAAGTATGTCATGAACTGAGTTACAGCCTTAAAGATTGGTGATAAGAATTATTAAGTTCATTGTGAAATAACGATTTTGTTTGAACAATTCCGAGGAGACTGGAGTGAGAATTTTGATAATATGCAATTGTGAAAATCGAATTTGACGATATGACAAACTAGATCAGAATCTATGTAGATATTTGAGAACTAGGAAGGTTTTGGATTTATATTGATTATAGATGGCCTTTTTGTTGAGAGTATTCCCCTGTCGACTCTAACACCGACTGGAGAAGAAGTCTACCACTGAGGTACTGTAGACGTAGAGTCTTTACTGAGGCGTAGCCGGCCGAGTCCTATGACTTGTGCCCACCTCGGTCTTGCGAGCCCTCAGACGCTGGGAACTCCAACGCATTAAAATTTGTAGAAACTGGTAAAAGGGAAGTGCCGAACTATACATAATTAAGAGAAGTCTGGTAACGGAGTTACAATTGGAAACAAATTGAAAGTGTCTGATTGACTGAACAGTGTTTTTTTTTTTGGATTTTGTAATTAATTGATTGAACGTACTTTTTATGATCCTTGTCATCGATTGATGTAATAATTTGGAAGTGATTTAACTGATTAATTGAATATAAGTGTTTTTATGATCTTGTCATTGATTGATTATATAAGTTGGAAGTAATTCACCTGATCTGAAGTTGAATTGGGAATCTTCTTCCAAGATCAAGAGTGTGATTTAAATTGAAGAATTTGATTATAAGATTTTGCTGTACATAATTATAGTGCTCAGAACTTGGAGAGTTGTAAATATATTTGGAAATATTAGAAGTTTGTTCTTTCTTGTCATTTATTGTGTCTGTTGGTGTGTCCTATAGGATCCGGGGTTACCATTCCCAATTTTTAGAATTAGCCAAATTTTGGAGTGGTGATAATGACCTCGACTTTATCTTATTCCAGGCGTGCTCAAGAACTAACGAGCCCAAGTCCGAGTTGAAGTCCGAATGACCTCGACTTTATCTTAATCCAGGTGCGCTCAAGTACTAACGAGCCCAAGTCCGAGTTGAAGTTCGAATGACCTCGACTTTATCTTATTCCAGGCGCGCTCAAGTACTAACGAGCCCAAGTCCGAGTTGAAGTCCGAATGACCTCGACTTTATCTTTATCCAAGCGTGCTCAAGAACTAACGAGCCCAAGTCCGAGTTGAAGTTCGAATGACCTCGACTTTATCTTAATCCAGGCGTGCTCAAGTACTAACGAGCCCAAGTCCGAGTTGAAGTCCGAATGACCTCGACTTTATCTTAATCCAAGCGTGCTCAAGTACTAACGAGCCCAAGTCCGAGTTGAAGTCCGAATGACCTCGACTTTATCTTAATCCAGGCGTGCTCAAGTACTAACGAGCCCAAGTCCGAGTTGAAGTCCGAATGACCTCGACTTTATCTTAATCCAGGCAATCTCAAGTACTAACGAGCCCAAGTCCGAGTTGAAGTCCGAATGACCTCGACTTTATCTTAATCCAGGCGTGCTCAAGTACTAACGAGCCCAAGTCCGAGTTAACTGGATATAATTCAAGAATATTTTGCATCACCTGCCGCAACTGCCACATCATTATTGTTGGTTCTCGAGTCAGGATTACTGTAATGTCCAAAATGTAAAACGACATGGGCGTCAATCGGTGGGCGTCAATCGGTGGGGACGGGGGGGGGGGGGGGAACATGTCCCCTATATTAGCTCAGTAGCTGTTTAATTACTCCAAACTCGAAAATGATGTTTAAATGATGATCATAAGCAGGCCCCAGACCCCACGCCGTAAGGGCTACTATTTCTGATCAAGGTATGTCCCCCACTATTTTTTGAAACGCAATTGACACCCTTTTCCTACGAACTATTTTTGTTTTGTCCGTTTAGTTTGTTTGTTGTTGTTGTTTTGTTGGTTTATTTCTTTTATAGGCCTTAGTCGCCGGAACACTGACAACCGCGATGATTGAGTACATAAGATTCTGGGAGGGGCAACATTAAAATTGCACCAACATGCACCAATGCCACCCATAGGGGGAGAATTATTTTTGGACCCACTTTTAAGTGGAACAAACTTTTGTTGGCCCCCGAAAAAGTGTTCTGGATCAGCCCTTGAATGACCTCCAGTTTGTACTAGTTGGCTAGCTCAAGAACAAAGGAAGTCAAGTCCGAATGAGCTGAATCCAAAACCAACGGGGTCTTAAACGTGAACCTTACTACGTAACGGCGTGGACTGCTGCAGCACAACAGGTGCGTTCTCAATCATCACTCTTGGACAGTGTGCGCTGTGTAACATTATCTATGGCGTGATCTGCAAAATCGTTGTTACCTAATACACCTGCATTTATTATCATTTGTTTGAAAAGTTTAATTGATGGACAAGCCTCAATCAATTTACTTCCTTTCAATTTGTTTAATCTACGTGGACAGCGATCCCTAAGGAGGGGATGAGATGATATGGCCACTCAAATGTTCATTTATTCATTTTATTTTTATTTTTTTCATCGGGGACGCAACCGGCAAGATTTTACACCTGCACATAAATGTTCTATGTAATAACCCAAAATACAAATCACACGCCAAAATATATGAAAATGCCTTACAATATCGTTCTTGGAGTCTATATACTTCATTTCATTGTAATTGCAAACCCGGGATTCGAACTCCGGACCGTTCGTATGCCAAGCGAGAGTCTTTTAAGACTGGTTAAAACCACAAGCCAACGCAGCTTGCGCGGCCGCGCGCACTGAAAAATGACGTACGTAATGATACACGTACACCTGCATGTTAACATAAACATGTACATCTGATCATTAGTCAAGCCACCCAAACATTCTTTACCCCAGATGCCTGCGTGATAAACATTAACTGCCATAGATCTCTGTGATAATTGTGTCCACCTTAAACAAAATACATTACTACAATACTCCCGACTATCCAAGTACGTATGTACTGTAGCAACCTCGTCTCCAGGGTGTCGAGCAGTACGCGCCCACCATTACCTGCTCTCTCACCCTGGTATTGAGTCATTTGCATGTGCAAGATTTTTGAACACGTATGCAAATTAGGAGTAGTCTGGTGCCTGCCTGTGCGTTACATTTGCGTTTGTCTTTGTATGCGGTGTCTGGTAAAAAACAGAATCAATTCGTCGCAAAGCGAGCATGGCGTGAGTTACGAAAACATGATTTTATTTTATTTAAACTGTTACGATCTTAGACAACATCCAGTATCACATTTCATATTAATATTAACAAACTGGAAAGAAAATGAATATTTTCGAGAAGGCGTGGACGAATGATCGCGAAAACACGTACTGCACTTTGTGAATAACAACACCAAGTACACGATATAAATCCATTTCTAGCCAATTGCGGTATCGAATCAGGATGCAGGAAGGAAGTTTCCTATCCAGGGTTTACTATTGGAAACAACGTTGGAAAGAAAGTAAGCACTGGGGACGAAGATTGGTACTGTAGATATACGACTTTGAGAAATTGACCTTTAGCATGGCGTCGCCCGACATACGTGTATAATTACGTCATCACGACGACACTTTAAACACGATCACACGTATAATGCTTTCTTGGTTTGTGTTCAAGTTTAGACTTGATCCGATAAAAAGCAGTGCGAAATTTCCGAAGCAGAAAAAAAATGTAAATGTTAATGTTAAAAATCAGCCATCATGACGTAACTTCAGATTTTGCATTACAATAACCTCTGAGTGTCTGCCGAGTTTCTTGTCGATTCGACCTTGGCTTGTATGTGTTGTGAAAAATGAAATATTTGATGACGTCATCATAACGTCATAATTTATCACTTTTTTGGGAAGTTTGTAGGCCTATGACCTTACAAAGCTATATTTTAATATATATATTTATTTTAATTTTATGGGTTTTGTTTTGTTTATTGCTTTTATTTTTTAAATAAGAAAGAGAGATAATCATATCGAGGTCGAAAATGTTGCCACTTTTTACCACGTGACTGGCCGATATAGCGCAGCGTGATTTTTCGCGTGTTTTGTTTTGTTCTGTTTAGTTTGTTTGTTGTTGTTGTTGTTATTTAGTTAATTTTTTGGTAAGTCGCAGAAACAACTGACACCCGCAAAGACTGAGTAATGAGAAAATGAGATTCTCGGAGGGTAGCATTAAAATTGCGCGACCATGCACCAATGCCATGAAGATTCCTAGTGCCTCTTCGTGATGTTTGGACCCATTTTTCGGGGAATAAAGGTTTGTTTGCCCTCCCCCCCCCCCCCAAAAAGTTCCGGATCTGCCCTTGAATGACCTCGAGTTTATACGAGCTAAATCCAAAAACAAACAGGGTCCAAAATGTGAACCTATACCAAAAGCGTGGACTGCTGCAACTACAGTGTTGTAGTCGAGACCGGATAGTCCGAGACAGAGACCAAGACTGAGACCTGAAGTTGCGAGACTGAGACCGAGACCGAGACCAGCCCCTTCAAGGCGGACGGAGACCGAGACCGAAATGGTCCGCGACCGAGACCGAGACCGCGGATAATTAATAACAATAATCTAAATAAACAACAAGACACTAATTATAGCTGAGCAGTCTGTCCTTGAGATGTTGATGTTCATGGGGATTTGAAGGAAGTGATTGAAAGTTAGGAATCACTTGTACCTGCTTATTTGTGTCATGCGAGTGCTCTTCGTATTTGCTTCATGCCAAAAATTACAACATGGCAACAGAATTTGTTATTGTCACAATCAATTAAAAAAATTGGAAGCAACCTGATTTAAAGAAGGGGAAAACCTTATATAAAACTCCATATATTTTTGCCACTTTAAATTTTTTTTTTTTTACAAATATTGTTTAACTACTATAAAGTGTAAATCTGATGAAGAAACTCTAACTTAGGAGTAAACTTGACAAAAGTAAAAAAGTTAAAGGTGGATATTTCATCTGTTATAGGAACTCGGACCCTAAACTTCACAGCCAC